GGGTTCTGTTCAGCCAGTGTTTTTTGGTGGAGAGGGGAGATTCAGGCCTGATAGGGAAGGAGACTGCTTCTCTTGGTTGCTTATTGTTAGCAAGGTGCCCAGTCAGTCTCCCTTGCTGGAGTATCCGATTTGCCTGAGGTTGTCAGAGGGACTCCCATTTGATCCAGAAGGGGAATGAACCTACTTGGACTGACTTCTGTTGCTAAGTTGGGGATTGGGAAGCATAGGTCCTGGGCCACATTTTTATGTTGGGTTTGGTGAGGGGGAGAAGATAACTGCCACTATGTTGTTCCTTTACTCTTGGGGTCCCAAACCAGTTTGTTTTATTCTTAGCACATTTTGTAGTTCTTTGGTTGTCTCTTACACCATTTCCAGGATTTGTAGTTGTACCTTTTGGGGAGGAGCAGAGAAAAGTGGATCTATGCCATCTTGTTCAGTTGAGAAGTCTGCATTTGCTTTTAACATCAGTTCTTGGGCAGTAAAAGCTCTTGAGTGTATATGCGTAGACAGATAGGGTGCAACAAAATGACAGAGATAATATCACTGGCATTGTAACTACCTTACTCACTTACAACATTTTCTTTTCCGAGAAGGACAGGCATTAAATTCAATGGAGATAAGTGTGCCATTTAGGATAAAAAAATCCCCACCACATAGGGAAAAGAGAAAGATTGATGAAGCAGAAGTAAAGTGAACCTCACTCATTAGAAATGATAGGTGCACAGAAAGTCTGAATTACTGAATTTAAGAAAAACAAAAGTATGTACAGATTAAGACAATAAGGTCACCAATAAACAAATTAAGTTATAAAAGAAATTTATATTCAGTATCAGTCTACATTATACAAAATGATCTTGAATGTTCAATCATTTTCAATGCCAACCCATTGTAATTAATTTCTAGATGTGAGGTTTATAGGAATCTTTAATTCCAATGGATCCTGATTCTAAAAAGCTACTGATTGTTTGACTGAATTGTCTTTATCTAGGATATGAATGATTATTCAAGGCAGATATTATATCAGAGAATGTCCATAATTTGGGATCCCCACTGAGTTTTGATTCCTGGGCCAGCAAAGTCACCTTGATGTTTTAGTTTAGCATTGCAATGCTGTCCTCTAAAGTTTGTTTCACTGTTTTGGGTGACTGCTGTTTCTTGCACTGTTCAGCACTTGCAGAACTTGGCATTTAGTATTTAACTTTGTTTCTCCTTGGTACCTTCCGATAGAGTCTCTTTCTTTCTTTCTCCTTGGATTGAGGCGTTTCCATTTAAATTGAGGGCATACATTTATGAGTGCTGGATAATTGAAGCATTGCTACATGCTGTCTAATTTCTTCTCTAAATCTTTCATCTGTGAAAATCTCATTTCAACACTGCACTTCTCTGAGCCTCATCTCTAAATGAAAGCATTGAATATAATCTCCAAGTCCTGGCTCTAAAATTCTGGGATTTTAATGAATGAAGATTTCAGTCTTTATTAATACAGACTTTAGAAGAAAAATTTGATACAGCAGTCCCTCTGGAAGAAACCTTACATCTGAAAGATTTAATCGAAGGTTTGCTGAAATATACAAAGCCAGACTTTAGGTTAAAATGGAGCAATGTAAGACGCATTATTTCTTGAGGTCTCTGCTACTTAAAATGCCACCTGCTTGGCAATTTAGCTCAACTCATTTGTTTTTATCTTTCTAAATCTTATATTCCTTCTTGAGGTGCTTACTGGAAGTGTTAATAACAATTGCTACATCTATGACTTACCCCTCTCTGATAAAAATACCGTGTCTAACTCCCATTTCCCGTCTTCTAAAAGAGTTTTCCACTACTTATGGATTACTCCAATAGTACTCTTTGAATGCTGCATCAAAGAAGATAACTTAGGCTTTTATGGTATTTAGTGTTTTATTGTTTTCCTAAAAAGTGAATGCAGTTAAATCATTAATGTTTTGTAAAGGAGAGGGAATTGTGAGCTCTGCTCTCAACAATTAGTGTATTCATAGAGTGATTTCAGGCTGTAGGATGCCACACTCCTCAAATGTGCTAGAAGTGACACTTTCACAGAGGTTTGCTAAGCCGGTTGGCTGGTGTAAACCCATCTACAAAATTGGAAACAAGATCCCGACAATTCTCCTTTCACATGAAGTTATGGACAAATTTGAAAGCATAAAGCTTGAAATACACGTTTGGCTGCTGAAGTATACCAGTTTCTTGATAAGGCCTAACATAATGTGGATCTGTGATAATTGGAAAAATGTCATAAAATTAAGTGAAAAAGTCCTTTTTGTATAGCTTCGACTTTTCCCCTTATAAACGTGTGTACTTTTATCAACTCATCTATATGGTCAGTTACAGGATTGTTACTCATTCTACTTGCTAATGACCACAAAATCCTAAAGAACATCCTACACACACCTCAAAATTTCTGGATATGCAAATTATAAGTAATTTTAATGCCCAAAACAGTGAAACAAATCAGTAGATTGTCTACTACCACAGTTATTCCTACATCATAGGTAATATGCTTCTCAGATGGATGAATTCAAAATACTAATTTCCCTAAGTTAAACATGAATGATTTCATTTTGGGTGATTTGAATTGGAGAAAGATTGTGACTCAGCCTTGAATTTTGCTATGTACCATTTTCACCTGGATATTCACTATTATCCTAAATTCCACTTGCCCACATCTGAACTGGGTGTTTTTCTTCTGAGTGAGGCTGCCTTCCCAATTTTTCTGTTTTTATGAATATTACCACTATTCTCCAAGTTGCCCGGAAGCAAAATTTGATTTCTCTGAGATTTCTCTCTCTTCTTTATCTCTTAAACCTCTTTGTTGTCAATACCCTGTCAATTCTTACTTTCCAGTAGATATGGGGATAGGAATCTTCACACTGCTCTCACATTGTTCCAAGCCTTATTCAGTTATTCAGTTAGCTTACAAATAGATACTAAACATCTACCACGTGCGAGGCACTGGGATAGACACTAAAGATACAATGGTGGGCAACAAAAGATGAGGACTCTGTCCACGTGGTCTAGCGAGGAAGAGAGACATTAAAAATCACATAAATCTCCAGCTATGACACATTACATGAAGAAGAGGTATGAGGTGTCATAAGAATCTAGAATAGATTGGTGTGAGCTAGTCATGAAAGTCAGGGAAGGTAGTCTTCCCTGAAGAGGTGATGCATGAGATGAGAACTGAAGGACTGGCAGAAGTTAATCAGATGGGGAAGGATGGGAAGAACGTTCTAAGTAGAGGTTACAGCAAATACAATGGTCTTGTGGTGGGAAAGAGCATGTCAAGTATTAGAGAACTAAAAAGAGGAAGACTAAAAAAAAAACACACACACAGAGAGAACTTAGCACAAATTGAGACTGAAGAGATAGGGAGGGACCAAATCATGCATAGCTTCATATGCTTTATTAAGAAAAAATTTTCTTTTTTTCCTATGAGCAATAGAAAGCAACTAAAGAGAGCTCAGTGCGTGTGTGTGTGTGTGTGTGTGTGTGTGTGTGTGTGTGTGACAGAGAGAGAGAGAGAGAGAGAGGAGGGGGATCAGATATTGGCATTTAAAAAATCACTTTGGTTGTATTATTGAACAGATTAGATGGAGTCCAAGATTAGTGGCAGACAGTTCAATTGGGAGGCTACCACAGTAGTCCAAGTGAAAGATGATGGTGACTGGTTAGGTTGGTAAGTGATGGAGATAGAGATAAACTGGGGGGAGCCAAGAGATATTTAGGAGCTACAATCAATAGGACAAGATTATGGATTGGCTATGGCAGGTGAGAGAGAGAATGAAGGAGACAGAGGGAGAGAGAGAGTTGGAACTTGCATAATTTAATGTAGGATAGTGTAGGGCCAGTCACTGAAGGAATACCAGAAGAGGACCCAGTTTGGGAAGAAGTTAATGAGCTCAAGCTGGAGCATGTTGAGTTTGAGGTGTTAATGTGATATCCAAGAAATGATATCAAGTAAACAATTGTTTATATAAATGTGGGGCTCAAAATAGAGATCTGGTCAAGAGATATAACTTTGAGATTTGACTGTGTATAGGTGTAAATTGAAATCCTAGGTGTAGAGAAACTATACAGCCAAATGAGAAGAGGTCCTGGGACAAAGCCTTGGTCAGGTAAAATAGGATGCGTCCAGAAATGAGTGGACAGAGACGTAGGAGAAAACGCAGGAGTGTGTTGTGCAATGGAAAGCAATGAAAAGAGTATTTTCAACTCATTAGTGCTACGAAATAAATGCTAATTTGGGAGTTTCAGATTAAAACATTTTCAATCTAGTGTTTAAATGAGTGACAGAAGTTTGACCAAGTGAAAGTCAACTGTTTTTTGAGCACTTACTCTGTATGAGAAGCTATGCTAAGTGTTTGATGCACATTAACTCACTTACTCTCATAACAATTTTGTAGGATAGGTGTTATTATAATCCTCATATTATAGAGGAGGAAATTGAAGCACAGAGAGGTTAAGCAACTAGTCCAAGGTTATGTAATGAGTGTGAAAGTGATGGTGCCAGTATTTAAAACTAATCCATTTGAATCTAAGGCTGATTTTTCTTTTTGGAATATTTTAAATTACACAATTCAATTTCTTTAATAGATATAGGAATATTCAAGTTATCTGTTTCTTCTTAAGTGAGTTCTTATAGCTGTGTCTTTCAAGGAATTGGATCATTTCCCAAAGCTAATCATCTTAATTAATGCACTACTGTGGCATGCATCCCTCTTTCAGGAATGTTTATATATTTTATGAAGATACTACAAAATGGATGTCCTCCTACCAGTTACTTAACCAGGGTGTTATGAGTGCCATATAGAGATCTTAGAGAGTAGAAAATTGTCTTAAGGAAAATCAAGTGATCAAGTGATTTGATTATATCTGTGGTACTTTCTTACAAGACGAAAATAAATTATAGAGCTCTTTCTTAAAGAATTGTCTCTAATTTCCAAAGCTGAATCCAAAATACCACTTTCTTTCTGATTTTTTAGTTGTTCCTGAAAATATGACAATTCAAGGAAAAAGTACAACTGTTTCACAACAAATAGATATGACCACTCCATCCCAAATTACTGGAGTAAAACCACAAAAGACTGCACATTCCTCTGCAGTGTTGTCTCAAAGCATACCTATATTTGCAACTGATTACACAACCATATCATATTCCAATGCAACATCTCCACCTCTGGAAACAATGACTGCACAAAAGATCTTAAAGACACCGGTAGATGAGACAGCTACATTTGCAGTAGATGTTTTATCAACTTCATCAGCCATCTCTCTGCCTACCCAGAGTATATCCATAGACACTACTACCAATTCCATGAAAAAAACGAAATCCCCATCTTCAGAAAGCACAAAGACAACAAAAATGACTGAAGCCATGGCTACTAAAATCTTGCAACCACCTACACCTTCTAATTTCCTATCCACATCCAGATTTACCAAGAATTCAGTTGCATCTACAACTTCAGCAATGAAATCTCAGTCGGCTGTTACGAAGACAACATCTTTATTTTCAATTATTGAGTCAACATCTATGTCTACAACACCTTGTCTCAAACAAAAATCCACAAATATTGGGGCACTCCCTATCTCCAGAGCTGACCAGGAGTTCATTGAATCTACAGCTGCTGAAACTGTACCTTGGTTTACAATGGAAAAGACTTCACCTGCAGCTACTCATGTTGGGACTGCATCAGCATTCCCACCTGAGTCTGTGCTCATCTCCACAGCTGCTCCAGTAGATTCTGTATTTCCTAGAAACCAGACAGCATCTCCATTGGCAACAACTGATATGAAAATAGCATTTACAGTCCATTCATTAACTCTCCCAACTAGGTTTATTGAGACCACGCCTGCCCCAAGGACAGCTGAAACAGAATTGACATCTACAAATTTTCAGGATGTGTCTTTATCCAGAGTGGAAGATGCCATGTCTACCTCCATGTCTAAAGAGACCTCCTCTAAGACGCTTTCTTCCTTAAGATCCTTTTCATTTACTGGGACTGAGAGTGTACAGACAGTTATTGATGCTGAAGCTACACATACAGCCTTAACTCCTGAAATCACACTTGCGCCTACAGTGGCTGAAACTATGCTTTCCTCCACAATCACAGGACGAGTTTGTACCCAGAATACACCTACAGCTGATGGACACATGCTTACTTTGATTTCCACTAGATCAGCTTCCACATCCAAGGCACCTGAGTCAGGTCCAACATCCACAACTGATGAAGCTGCCCATCTGTTCTCCAGCAATGAGACCATTTGGACTTCCAGGCCAGACCAGACCCTGCTGATATCTATGAACACAACCACCATACTCACATTTGTGCCTAATGAAAATTTTACATCAGCATTTCATGAGAGTGCTACTCATACAGAACATTTATCTACAACTACCAATATCATCCCACTGAAAGCATCTCCAGAGGGCGAAGGTACCACTACCACTGATGCTACTACCGCCAGATATACAACAGCTGTATCCAAATTGGCATCACCATGGTTTTCTAATTTCTCCATAGTTTCTGGAACCACATCCATAACCAGTATGCCTGAATTTAAACTTACCACCTTACCACTAAAAACAATCCCTATGTCTGCAAAACCTGCAAATGAACTTCCTTTGACACCAAGGGAGACTATTGTTCCATCAGTAGATATAATATCTACTCTTGCTTACATTCAACCAAATTTTTCTACTGAGGAAAGTGCTTCTGAAACCACACAAACAGAAATAAATGGTGCAATTGCATTTGAAGATACAACGACCCCTGTACCAAGGTCAGCAACAACACAAAGATTTAATGCCACTGTGACAAGAAAAGAAGCAACTTCCCATTATCTTATGGGAAAATCAACTATAGCAGCAGTGGCTGAGGTTTCTCCATTTTCAACAATGCTGGAAGTGAAAAATGAATCAGCACAAATGGTGACAGCTTCTGTCGCTGTTTCCTCTTTTCCTGAGATAGAAAAGCTAAGTACCCCATTGGATAATAAAACTGCAACAAGTGAGGTGAGAGAAAGTTGGCTTTTGACAAAATTGGTGAAAACCACACCTAGGAGTTCATACAATGAAACGACAGAAATGTTTAATTTTAACCACACCTATGTAGCACACTCGACTTCAGAGACATCTGAGGGAATTTCAGCTGGATCTCCCACTTCTGGGAGCACACATATATTTGGTGAACCCCTGGGTGCTTCTACCACAAGGATATCAGAAACCAGTTTCCCCACAACCCCTACAGACAGGACAGCTACGTCCTTGTCTGATGGTATCTTACCTCCACAGCCTACAGCTGCTCATTCGTCAGCAACCCCTATGCCTGTTACTCATATGTTCTCATTGCCAGTTAATGGCAGCTCTGTAGTGTCTGAGGAGACTGAGGTTACCATGTCTGAGGAGACTGAGGTTACCATGTCTGAGCCTTTTACACTGGTCAGGGCTTTTTCTACATCTGTGCTTTCAGATGTCTCAAATCTATCGTCAACTACAATGACCACAGCATTGGTACCACCTTTGGATCAGACTGCTTCCACAACCAGTGATATTGTGCCTACCCACGGAGACTCGATTCATACCACTTCAGAGGCCACAGTAATCTCTGTCAGGAAGACATCCACGGCAGTTCCTTCTCTGACAGAAACACCATTTCCTTCACTGAGACTCTCCACTCCTGTGACAGCTAAGGCTGAAACCACCCTTTTCTCCACCTCAGTTGATACAGTTACCCCATCTACAAACACTCTTGTCTGCTCAAAACCTCCCCCTGACAACATTCCTCCTGCGTCCTCCACTCATGTTATCTCAACTACATCTACACCAGAAGCAACTCAACCCATATCTCTAGTAGAAGAGACTTCTACCTATGCTCTCAGCTTCCCATATACTTACAGTGGTGGTGCAGATGTTGCCAACTTGGCTACTGGCACCGCAGAGACCTCTGTTGTTGATGAGACCGCACCCTCACACATCTCTGCCAATAAGCTTACTACTTCAGTAAACAGTCACATTTCTCCACCTGTCACACATCGTGTACACACACCAGTGTCCACCCACTTGGTGACTAGCACCTCTATCTTATCTTCTGATGAAGACCAGATGACCATATCCCTGGGAAAAACCCCTAGAACTACGGAGGTGACAGAAATGTCCCCATCAAATAATTTTTTTATTTCATACTCCCGGGGTACTCCATTTTTGGAAATGACAGATACAGGATTTCCTGAGACCACAATAATTTCCAGTCACCAAACACATTTGCCTTCAGAGATTCCACTTGGGACTCCCTCTGATGGAAATTCGGCTTCATCTCCCACTTCTGGAAGTACACAGATTACACCTACCTTGACCTCAAGTAACACAGTAGACGTTCACATTCCAGAAATGTCTACCAGTCTTGGGAAAACAGCTCTCCCCTCACAAGCTCTGACAATCACCACTTTTTTGTCTCCTGAAAAGGAAAGCACTAGTGTTTTTCCAGCATATACTCCCAGGACCGTGGAAATGATAGTAAACTCCACCTATGTGACTCACTCTGTCTCATATGGCCAGGATACTTCATTTGTAAATACCACAACTTCCAGCTCAGCCAGAATATCAAATCCTATGGACATCAACACAACTTTTTCACACTTGCATTCACTTAGGACACAACCTGAGGTGACTTCAGTTGCCTCTTTCATTTCTGAAAGCACACAGACTTTCCCTGAGTCCTTGTCTCTTTCCACAGCTGGACTATATAATGACAGTTTTACAGTTCTCTCCGACAGGATCACTACAGCCTTTTCCATTCCAAATGTACCTACAATGCTTCTTAGAGAATCCTCTATGGCAACCTTCACTCCTATTTACCAGATGTCCTCATTGCCAGTTAGTGTAACTGCCTTCACCTCCAAAAAGGTTTCTGACACTCCCCCAATACTGATCACTAAATCTTCTAAAACAATGCATCCAGGTTGTTTGGAAAGTCCCTGTACAGCCACTTCTGGGCCTATGTCTGAGATGTCCTCAATGTCAGCTAATGACTCTGCTTTCACACCTGCAACAGTCTCTTCTGACACTTCCACAACAGTTGGGTTATTCTCTACTTTATTGTCTTTGGTTACCCCCAGGATTACTATGACCATGCAGACATCTACATTGGATGTCACACCTGTGACATATGCTGGGCCTACTTCAAAAAGCAAAATGGTTTCCTCTGCTTTCACTACAGAAATGATAGAGGTACCTTCCAGGATCACACCTACAACCTTTCTCTCTCCAACAGAGCCAACTTTCCCCTTTGTAAAAACCGTTCCCACCACTATTATGGCTGGGATAGTGACTCCATTTGTAGGTACCACTGCCTTTTCTCTACTCAGTTCTAAGAACACTGGAGCTATTTCCTCCATTCCAAAGACCACATTTTCACCATTTCTATCAGCAACTCAACAGTCATCACAAGCAGATGAGGCTACAACTTTGGGCATATTATCTGGAATTACTAAGAGGTCCCTATCTACTGTGAACAGTGGTATGGGGGTAGCTCACACAAATACATATTCCAGAACCACTGCTCCTGAAAATATGCTTTCACCTACTCATGCAGATAGTCTCCATACTTCCTTCAATATTCAGGTTTCCCCATCTCTGACTAGCTTTAAGAATACTTCTGGAGCCACAAAAAATGTTAAAACAACCACCACTTACCTTTCTTCTAATACTAGAAAGATGACTTCCTTGTTAGAAAAGACTTCCTTAACAAATCATGCCACATCTTTGAATACCCCTGTTTCATACACTCCATGGACCCCATCCAGTGCAACTCCACCCTCTTTGGCATCATTTCTTTATTCACCTCATAGTAGTGAAGCTGAGTTCTCTACTCCAGAGACCTCTCCTCCTCCCACATCCCACATGGTTGAATTTCCAGTTCTGGGAACAAGAATCACATCTAGTAATACCCAACCTCTGCTTATGACTTCCTGGAGCATACCCACAGCTGAAGGTTCTCAGTTTCCAATTTCCACCACTATTCATGTACCTACATCCAATGGGATGGAAACAGAGACTCTACACCTTGTTCCTGGGCCTTTGTCAACATTCACAGCCTCTCAGACTGGTCCAGTATCTAAAGATGTCATGGCAATATCATCAATTCCTATGTCAGGAATTCTTCCTACCAATAGGCTTTCTGAGAACCCTTCATTATCAACACCCTTAAGAGCTATCACTCCCACATTGGCTGACGTTAAGCACACATTTGAGAAAATAACCACATCTGTAACTCCTGGGACCACACTCCCATCAATTCTTTCTGGTGCCATTTCAGGATCTGTAATTTCAAAGGCTACTACTTCACCCATTCTGACAAGGCTCTTATCTAGTCTCCCTTCTGGCTCCCCTCTGGCAACTGTATCTAATGCCCCTCATGTTATGACTTCCTCTACAGTAAAGGAGTCAAAATCAACATTTCTGACATCTGACATGATATCAGTGCACCCATTCACTAACTTGACAACACTACCCTCTGCTACTATGAGCACCATACTCACCCAAACCATTCCTACACCTACACTGGGTGGTATCACTACTGGCTTCCCAACTTCTCTCCCTATGTCTATAAAAGTCACAGATGACATTGTGTACATTTCCACACACCCTGAGGCATCCTCCGGAACCACAGTAACTGCCAACCCCAGGACTGTGCCTCATCCTTCATCCTTTAGCAGAAAGACTATGTCACGTTCTACAACTGACCACACTCTATCTATTGGTTCCATGCCTCTGCCTAGCTCTACAATAACATCTTCATGGGGCAGAATTCCAGCAGCATCATCACCCTCTACCTTGATTATTCCTAAGCCCACACTGGACTCCCTTCTAAATATAATGACTACTAAAACCACTGTTCCTGGAGCCTCATTTCCACTAATATCCACTGGGGTGACACATCCTTCTACAGCAACTGTGTCTTCACCAATATCGTCCTTTTTTGAGACAACTTGGCTGGACTCCACACCTTCCTTTCTATCTATGGAAGCATCACCTTCGCCTATTGCCACCAAGTTCACAGGTACTACTCCATAATGCATGTGGTGTAGCCCCAACAGAATTCGTGCACTATGGGTCATGTGTTTTCCAAAGTGGCCCATTCTTGGAAGGCAGAAAAGAATGAAGAAGGGTGCAGGTGTTTTTTATCTCCTTCAGACAATGGGTACAGTGAGTACCTTGTCCAAATACAAAATTCTCTCGCCATCTTTTTTGTCTCTGCTTTATTGGCATGTAATGTAAATGTATCTTTTCACTCAGCATGACAATTTCTAAGCCTACTTTCCACCTGTTTCGTTCTTGACGGTCTGACTCTGATTCTGCCAATGTGCACACGGACTAGGAACATCACCCCTTCCCAGTAAGAGGATCATATGGCCTTAGGTCTGAGCATGCTGACCACCCACCGGAAAACACCAGAAAAAACACCAGAAGATATCCTATCTTACCTTTTGGATTCCTTTTATGCAGGTCTCAGCCTTCTCCAATCCCTACCTGCAGCTGGCTAGGAGTGCTTGTCCAAGGCCAGGGAATACTTGGCTTCCATATTGTTCAAATTTTGAATGCTTCTGCAACTTTTTTTTTTTTTTTTTTTTCGAGACAGAGTCTCACTCTGTCATGCAGGCTGGAGCGCAGTGGCACCTTCTTGGCTCACTACAAGCGCCATCTCCCGAGCTCACCCCATTCTCCTGCCTCAGCCTCCCGAGTAGCTGGGACTACAGGCGCCCACCACCATACCCGGCTAATTTTTTGTATTTTTAGTAGAGGTGGGGTTTCACAGTGTTAGCCAGGATGGTCTCGATCTCCTGACCTTATGATTCGCCCTCCTCGGCCTCCCAAAGTGCTGGGATTACAGGCGTGAGCCACCGCGCCCGGCCTGTTCCTGCAACTTTTAACATTCTACAATAGAAATTTGATAGGATACACAAGAGCAAGAGGGAAAAAAGGAGAGAAAAATCTAAAGCAGAAAACAAGGCACAGGAAGAAAAAAAACAACAGTTATTTTCTCAGGGAAAGTGATCTTCTGAGATAATGTTCAGCTTGGCCGTTGAGTGGACTGAAAGTCTGTTGGTCAATGAGAGTGGAGAATTGGTGGGATTTGTGGAGTGTCTGTCAACTAGAAATCAAGGAAGTGTCCAAATAATTAAAGCAAAACTGGGATGGTAACATCCCAGTTCTGCTTTTTGATATGGAGTCAAAGTGTTGGTTCTTGACCTTGGAGTTAAATTAAGCTAAGTTTAGGCAGTAGACATTATTATTTGGTTTACTTTAAAACAGAGAACACTTTTCACCAAATTTACAGAAGTCAAATTTCTTGAACTAAATGAATAAAATTAACCTCCTTATTTTTAATTACAGTTTCCTTCTACAATGTTGAAATGAGCTTCTCTGTCTTTGTTGAAGAGCCAAGGATCCCTATTACCAGTGTTATAAATGAATTTACAGAAAATTGGGTAAAATAATCTTTTGCATATTTATGGTATATATAAATATATGTCAATATATACATGTATATATATGACAGAGTATATTAAAACTAGGCTTTACTTTTTTCTACCAATAATAAGCAACATCATGAGAATATATGCAATCTCATAGTACCAATGCTAAAAGCTTTTATGGAATGTTATTATTTTCATTTGTTGAGATCTGTACATTTCCCTTTAGTGACACAAATTCTGAGTCTTTGCCAAATTTTCCTATTTGGGGAAAGTGGGAGAGCAGTGATAACAAAATGTATACTTAAATACAATGGTATTTAAGTATTATTGTTTTCTGAATTTTATTTTTTTCTCTTTCGAACACAGTGAATGTTTTACTTATCCTTAATTTTTTCTTGATATGACTAATACATACTCTCTGTAACAAAATCAGACATTGACATCGAAAATCCAGAAAGTAAATGTCCTCTCTAATACTGCTCTGTGCATTAACTCCTCTTAACAGTTTAAGGTACATTCTTTCAGATTTTTTTTCTGTGCATATTATAATGTTGATGCATGTGTGTTCTTTTACAAAATAAATGTAATTGTACTAGTTATGCTATTTTTCAACTTGCTCCCCCTCCTCTGCACTTAACCATGTATCTTTGCACATATTTATGCTGGTAAATATAAATCATATACTTTAACAGATGCATAGGATTTCACTACGTGGTTGTATTACAGGTTTTTTTTTTTTTTTTTTTTTAAATCCATTGGTGACATTTACATTGTTTCTATCTTTTTCTCTATTTAGAAACAATGCTGGGCTGGGCACTGTGGCTCATGCCTGTAATCCTAGCACTTTGAGAGGCTGAGGCAAAAGGATTGCGTGAGCCAAGGAGTTCGAGACTAGCCTGGGCAACATGGCGAGATCTTGTTTTCTTTTTTTAAAAAAAAAAAGTTTAAGAAAAAAACAATGCTGAAAACAATTCCCTAGAAATAAATTTTGGGGCACTTTAGTATTTTTATAGGATAAATTCCTAGAATTGGAATCAGTAGATGAAAAGATGTGAACCTTTCACATTTAAATAGCTGTTACTAAAAGACCCCCCAGATAGGTGACATCAACTTGCACCATCTCCCAACAGCAAAAAATCATATCTGTTTCCATTCTTTCCCTGTCAGCACTTATTTTCAAGTGTCTATGGCATGGTTATAAATCCTTGAAAATGGGTGGGTGCATTAGTCTGCTCAGACTACCATAACAAGATACCACAGACTGGGTGGCTTAAACAACAGACATTTATTTTCTCATAGTTCTGGAATCTGGAAGCCTAAGATTAAGGTGCTGGCAGAATTGGTTTCTGGTGAAGCCTCTCTCCTTGGTTTGCAGATGGCCATCTTCTCACCTGTGTCCTCACATGGTCTTTCCTCTGTGCACACGCATCCCTGGTCTTTCTTTTTCTTCTTATAAGGACACTGGTCCTATTGGAGTAGGGCTCCACTTTTATGATCTTGTTTAACCTTAATTCCATCCTCAAAGACCTTATCTCTGAATATAACCACATTCAGGTTAGGGCTTCAACATTTGAGTTTTGGAAAGACACAATTCAGCCCATAACAGTAGGTAATATGTAATTTGAAAAACTTAGTGGAGCAAATGGAAATGTTGAGCCAGCTGAAATAATGAGTGCAGCTTAATGATCACATCATCCCAGGTGACTTTGCTGAGTTGAACTAGAGGAGCAGAATAATGAAACTGATTTTTTTTTGTCTTGTACAGTTGAATTCTATATTTCAGAACAGTGAATTTTCTCTTGCTAATCTGGAAACCCAAATTAAAAGCAGGTACGTGAATGACATTTACTGTGGGTCAAAGGGCAATTTGAGGGCATTTTGGGTCTGTTCCTATCTGGAGGGGATGTCCTGTGTTTATGTCTGAGATTTAGGGCTGCCACATTTTTAGTTGCATCTTCCTTCCTGAGTAGGTTCGTTTTGGCATGAGGAAAAAATTTGTATTACTATTGTAAGGTATAAAGCCAATGCGAGAACAAAACAAAAGAAAACCAATAGAGGAAGTCATGCAGTTAGACTGAGTTACCTCTAATGCCCCTTTCATCTCTAAGATTCTATGAATCTGTGACTTATACAAAAATCATACCTTGAAGTGCTATGTATGGACAATGTGCGAGGATTTATAAGGCCTTTTATTTTGGAATGATTCACTTTCAGAAATGAGAAATTCCAAAGTGAACTTGAAATGTCTAAAGCAAGAATGTTGACTAGTCCAACATTTGCTTGGGGCACAAATTTCGAATGGTGATTGCAGTGAAATGGGCAGTATCGTGGAAACTATGGCAAAGGCAATTGCTCACCTGGGAAGTATTTCCTGTATTCTTTCCCTGCACACATACTAATCCTCTGTAAAGGGACACCCCACAGAAGTTCTTTGAAAAATAGGCATGGCTCTGTTAAGCCATGGCAACTGATTTTTAAAGCATAAAATGTTACTGCCTGTCTTCTGTACACTGGGATTTTGGTTTCTCTTACATATTCAAGTATTAATTATCAATCACATATTAATTCATATAAGTATTAATAGGGTCAAGAAAATTCATATAAATGAATGGAGGTAAATCTATGGTAGGTTATTGTCTTAGTTTTGAGTTACTATAACAAATGCTATAGACTAGGTGGCTTAAGCCACAGAAATTTATTGCTCACAGTTCCAGAGGCTGGGAAGTCCAGGATCAAGGTGTTGGCAGGTTCAATGTCTGGTGATGGCCCTCTTCTTGCTGTGTCCTCAAGTGGCAGAGAGCAGAGAGACAGAAAGCTCTCCTGTCTCTTCTTATAAGGGTACTGTTTCAAAAAAATTCAAACTGTTTTTGTTTCTCTGTTGTCATACCAACACAACAATCAATATAGAAGATTTCTACCACCAAATGTGTGGGGATTTCCCCCCAACACACCAAGCAGCTGACACCGCTGATTGTTCTCTACTTCAATTCTATTCTGGTGCTATCCTCTCAAAAATAGCTTCAGATCTCACAGGTCTCCAAGACTGCCCCTCACCCCAGACACTAGTCAAAAGTCCAGGCCTCCAGAACTTCTGACTAACTGACTTCAACTTGGGATTCCCATGACCCCCTCTTTGAGCTTGATTAATTTGCTAGAGCGGCTCACAGAACTCAGGGAAACACTTATGTGTATTGGTTTATTATAAAGGACACTGCAGAAGACACGAATGAAGAGATGTGTAAGGAGAGGTAAGCGACAAGGGGAATGGAGCTTCTCTGATCTCCCTGGGTGCACCACCCTCCAGGAACCTCCATGTGTTCAGCTATTGGGAGGCTCTCCAAACCCAGTCTTCTCGGGATTTTATGGAAACATCATTATGTCAGCATTCCTTTCCCAAGTCTCATAAGAGGCAAGACTCTTTCTGGAGAGGGTCTTAAGACTCACAATCAGAAAGGTGAAGAAAGATTAGAGTTCTGCCTTGGGGCAGGTGAAAGGAGGGTGGGAGAAGATCAGAGAGATTCTGTTTGCTGAAGCTAGCTTCTGAGGCCTAGCACGCCCGACATTATAACAAGACTGTAACAAGGGCTATGGGAGTTATAAGCCAAGAACTGTGAATGAAAACATGTGTGCGCGCACACACACACACACACATATAACACCCCAGGCACCGATCCCATTCATGAGAGTTCCACCTTCATGATCTAATTACCCCTCAAAGGCCCCACCTCCTAATATCATCACACTGGGGATTGGACTTCAACATTGAATTTTGGCAGGACACAAACATTCACAACATTTAACTCACTAAAACAAAACTAGAGATGTCTGGGGGTAAACAACATTCTTTTTAAAAACCGTGTCTATTATTTTTCCTTATTACAAAAGTAATATGTGACCACTGCAAAATCTTAGAGCTTTATAGAAATATATATGTGTGTGTGTGTATATATATATATATAAAACCTGGATAGTAAAAATCTCTGAATACTTGCCTTCCCCTACTCCTCCAAGAACTCCTGTTAACAGCTTATTTTATTGATTTCTCTAGATTTGTTTTCACACATTTACTAAGAGAATAAGATCCTCCTCTACATACTGTTGGACAACTTTCTTTTCATGCCTTATAATACATCACGTATGCCTTTTCAGGTCAATATATGCAGATATAGCTCATTTGTTTTAATAATCGTAGAGGATTCTTTTATATGGTGTGCCATGATGTTTTCCTCCAATTATCTAATGATGGAAACTTGAGTCATTTCCACTTGTATGTCTATTTTTATGCATTTTTGCTGGTACCATTATGGAATAGATTCCTGGATTCAAGGTTAATAAGTCAAAGGCTTGCCACCGTTGTGGTATGCATGTAGTAAGCAAGCCCATTGGAAGTGTTTCTCTGGAGCTTCAGCATTATTTGAATTCCAGGCTGGGAGAAGTCTATTGTTCTGCCTCAGTGTTGCCTTTCTCCTGATCTCGTGCCCTGCATACTTGGTACTATATTTCATTTTCCTATAATTTTGTAATGCTTTTGATACAGGGACATTTCAGAGGAAGAGATGGTCATGGATCGAGCTATTGTAAGTAATTTTTCAAAATGAATCTACCTGTGACCTATCCTATGCCTGATTAGATGTAAGTCAATAGCTCTTCCACCCAAGTGTATATTATCAGGCGAGGCTCTGTTGTGACAATTGGGGGTCAAATTATGTTACTTCCTTTGGGATTGGCACAAAAAGCCATCAAGAAAACATCCCCTGCTTTTCTGAACTATCCATGTGGCAGCTTTTTGAGGCACATTTTCTGGTCTATAGGAGTGTGGAATGACTCAGGGATTGTAAATGGTAAGTGAATTTCTTGGTTATAGATGTCTTGCAAGAAAGCCTAGCTCTTCCAAGAGTGACACAATTATTTGCAAAACTTGGATTCACACAATAAATCCACCCTCTATTTGTCCAGATTTGAAGCCAGAGTGTGATAAAACTATCTCCCATCATCCTTGCCCCAATTCTCAGTTCTTTTTCAATTGCCTCAAAGCTTTACAACAGCCCACTGTAAAATGAGTAGCAGACACACAGCTTTCCAGGTATTTAAGTATGAGGTAAATACTTGATGATACACAGTACAATCAAGTCCACGGTACAGGGGCCAGGTGCAGTGACTCACACCTGTAATCCCAGAGGTTTGGGAGGCTGAGGTGGGAGGATTGCTTGAGGCCAGAAGTTCACGACCAGTCTGAGCAACATGGGGAGACTCCATCTCTACAAAAAATAATTTAAAAATATTAGCTGGGCACGGTGGTGCATTCCTGTAGTCCCAGTTGCTGAGGAGGCTGAGGTGGGGAGAATCATATGAGCCCAGATTTCAAGACTGCACTAAATTATGATTGTGCCACTGCACTCTAGCCTAGGTGATAGAGCAAGGTTCTGTCTCAAAAAAAAAAAAAAAAAAAAAAAAAAAAACCACTATGGTGCATTCCAAATTATCCACTATCATTAAAAGTATTTTCTGTAAATAGCTGAGTCATAAGTTTTGATGTATACACATTAAAGCATGATATAACTAAAAGTCCTGTCAATAATGGGTATAAAATCCTTTTGGTGATAATGTGGTCAAGCTGCCTGGGTTGGAACCCCTGCTTTTTCACTTCCTAACTATGAAACCTTGGGCAACTTAATTAACCTCTCTGTGCCCTGTTTCCTCATCTGTAAGATGAGGGCTGTTGGAAGGATAAAATGAGATAATCTATGTTAAATGTTTAGCACTGGGCTTAGAACATAGAAAATGTTAGATAGTGTTTACAATTGTCAATAGCATGTTAATATCTAGACCCAGAAGGCTTGGATTCTGCTCCTAGTTCTGTGACTTGTCAACTGCGTGATACTGGGCAGACCATTTAACTTCTCTGTGACTCAGATTCCTCATGTAGCAAACAGGGTGACAATCCTTGCATTGCTCACCCTACACGGTTGGTGTGAGGAGTAAATGCATTGATGTTTTTGAGGCTAGTTTGTAGATGGCAATGGGTTACATAAATGTAAAGCATAATTATATAATTGTTGCTAACAATAAGCCCTGTACTCAGTTATGACATTTGTTTAAAGATTTCAGTGACTATGTACTTTTCTTTTGCATTAGTTGGAACAGAGAGAAGGACAAGAAATGGCTACAATTTCCTATGTACCATACAGGTAGGAAGTAGGAACTGAGTTTATTAATAGCTGGTACACTTAGTTCTGATTTTCCTTCCATTTAATTCCGTGTGTGTGGCCAGTTGGCCAGAGTTGTCAGAAGGAGATCAAAGTACCCAGGGATTATTTCACATATGCTGTAATTAGGCCCTTGCCTTCATGAAGTATGTTGTTTCGGTTGGTCATGGCTCAGGCTAGCAGCCAGCCTGCTGCCCCTTTGTAGTGAAGAGAAAATGGGGTGGTCATAATCTGGGATGGGGGAGTGAAGTGTTTGTTGTGGTCAAAAAGGTCCACGAAATACTTGGCAGGGAAATTGGAAACAACAACAACATGGAAAGTAGCTTCGGTTCTGTTCAGACTCTTGGTCCAGCTCCTCCCGGAATGCTGGCTATTGTTGATCTGTTTGATGCACATCAGGAAGAACATATAGACAGAAAAGGCCCATGAAGAGGTCTTTAGAATGGAGTAGAGGGTCTGTTACAAGCAGGAGGAGAGGTTTAAAATGAAGACTCCTCTTTGGACTGGAAAGATGAAAGCTGAGAAGAGCTAGACTCCAAAGGAAGGAGGTAGGATGAGCAGGGACCTCACCAAATATAATTCAGGGGAGGGGCGGACATCACTCAGATTAGACATGGAGATAAGTTTTGAGTAAGTACAGGTATGCCTAACTTGCAACAGCTGGCAGGAGACTTAGCAAATATGTTCTTCAAAAAGCCATATCTACAAATGGAAATGGAAAAAAGATATAGGTAAGTTTTTGTATCTGAAATGTGCTTCCTAATGGAATATTAGAGGAATTCAGAATATTTGAGGATCTTGCTGTAGAGGATAGAGGATGAAGTCAAGGATGGCCCTATCCTTTCGTCAGTGATCTTTTAGTGGACATAAATACTGAGTGAGTCTTTGTGACCATGGGAAACGTTATTTCTCTGAGGCTGAGTTCCATCATCTGTATTATGGGAATAATAATAGCATTACCTCATACGGTTGTTGTGAGAAAAAAGTGAATCAGAACATGTGGAGGAAGGGCTTCACAAATGTTAGCTACTATCATTATCATTATCATTATCATCATTATTACTTATTATAGAAATGAGCCTTCTTCAGAACACTTCTTTATAGACTAATTGAGCATCATATGCCTATTTGCCTGATTTCAGTAATGATGGGTAAATTGGAGACCAGAAGAATAAAAGGTTCTCTCTGAAATAATAAATCCTGAAAACTCCATCTTCTCTATTAATTATTACAAACTCTTAGAGAAATCTCAAGGCTAGCAATTTCAACACAATGCGTATGTTACTGACCATTCTTTTGAAAATAGGTTTTGCATTGTCTGTTTTGGATAAGAGAAAATTTATCAGAATATTTCAGTATGCTGTCTTCCATCACTTCTTAAAATTGGCCACGTAATAGCTGTAAAATGTTTGACATTTATGAACTACCAATTAAATCAGCTGTACAAAAATTTCAGCATTGCAGTCCAAGTTGCACTCCCTTGACATAACTGCAACAATCTTTCTTTTTTATTCTGCTTTGTAGCTGTGTTTGTCAGGTCATCATAAAAGCCAGCTCTTCCTTAGCATCCTCGGAATTGATGAGCAAAATCAAAAGTAAAATACATGGCAACTTCATGCATGGAAACTTCACACAAGATCAATTGACGTTATTAGTAAACTCTGAGCATGTTGCAGTGAAAAAACTAGGTAATTTTTTGGGGGGGTGGATATTGCAGTATGAACTTACTTCCTTTATTATAAAACTCATAATGCATACCTGGTTAAGAATTCTGAGTTCAGAAAGGAGAGAAGTCACCTTTATGCTTTTTCCATATTCTTGGTACCCACTTGATCTGATGACCTTTCTACCTTTAAGAACCTATGGAAGAACAGACTGCTGGAGGAGTTACCAGAAACTGCTGGTCGGCTCTGGATATTAGCAATGGTCAGTCCGTCAATGGAATGGGAGGATTTTCCCTCTTGCATAAATACCCAGAGACCTGAAGAGCTTCCTCATTAACACACAGTAGATGCCCAATAGATAATTGCTAATTTATTGATTGACTCAGCCATCTTATTCATCTTGGCAAGTGATCTGGGAACTGTCCCAGATTTCTCTCATGGACATTCTCTGATTAGCAAAGCTTTATTGGTAAAAGTGCGAGGTTACCGGGCCACTCCACCTCCTTCCCAGTTCAGCTTTATTCCTTTTCCCCAATAGACTGCTGTAGAAATCATTGAGCTCACACAGCTCTAATGCCAGATAACACACACAGGCATTAGAACGCAAAATCCTTGGCAACATACTGATTAAGCATCAGAGGGCAGCCTGTGACAGTGCAGGGGTGTCAGTGAAATGGAGGGCAGAAACATGTTGAAGCCACAGGCAGAGCCCACCATGTAAATGACACTAATGAATGTGTCGTAAGAGTGAGAGGAAGGCACCTTTAACTCTCACTCAGGGTGGAGACTGGGATAGCTGAGCAAAGCTGGCTGGGCCACTTCTCACACCATTCTCTCAACACCTGAGGGAAATATTTCCAGAATCAGGGCCATGAAACCCAGTGAGTGCTCAGTAAAAACCGGGAACTTATCATATAGACTTAGCCCAGGTCACATCTCCCTTCATGTGACAGCAAAACCTTGCCTTAACAGCCCTCTGTGGAAGTTTACCCTGTCCCTCAGCACCAACATCGAAAACAGAGCCCTAGACTGTGTGCAGTGGCTTACACCTATAATCCCAGAACTTTGGGAGGGTGAGGCAGGAGGATCACTTAAAGTCAAGAGTTTGAGACCAGCCTGGGCAACAAAGCAAGACTCTGTCTCTACAAAAAATAAATAATAAAAAAAAAAATAGCGGGACATGGTGATGCATGCCTGTAGTGCCAGCTATTCAAGAGGCTGAAGCAGGAGGATAACTTGAGACCAGGAGGTTGAGGCTGCAGCAAGCCATGATCACGCCATTGCGCTCCAGACTGGGTGACAGAGTAAGACCTCAAATAACAAACAAACAAAACAGAGCTCCCCTGTCTATATTGATCATGTCAGATACACTGAGTTTACTAAAACAAAATCCATCTCACAGTCCGTTAAGAAGGGGGCCATCCCAGAGAGAGAAGTTGGCCTACAGTCTCCTATCTTTGGACATAAAACTGATAACAGTGGGTACCTCAGAAGCTGGGCAATTGGTAGGTGGGAACTTTTGACTCTACACTCCACCGTGTGGCTTGAATTTTTTCAATGCATGTGTATTGTTTTAAAAACAAGACAAAACAATGTCAGGTGAGGTGGCTAATGCTTATAATCCCAGATCTTTGGGTGGCTGAGGCGGGAGGATTGCTTGAGGCCAGGAATTTGAGACCGGCCTCTATAACATAGCAATACACTGTCTCTACAAAAAATTTTAGAAAAACGTATCTCATAAACTGGTTGTTTTAATGAAAAGGACTAAATATGTCGTTATACTGGGTGGTTTGTTATTTAAAAAAAACCACTCCATATAATGATATTTTCAGTAAGGCCTGGTCCAAATGGCTAGATAGAAAAAGTTTTCTTTTTTATTTGCTGATCTTTACGTGCAGCGTAATAGTGACGTTCATAATAACATATAATATTATATTATTATACAGTAATAATAATAATGGATGTTCGTAATACTTTTAAGTGCCTCTTGCCCTTTAAAATGTGCATACATTTTCTCTGTAGAGCCTGGAAATTGCAAAGCTGATGAAACAGCCTCCAAATACAAAGGGACTTATAAGTGGCTATTAACCAACCCTACGGAGACAGCCCAAACTAGATGCATAAAAAATGAGGATGGAAACGCCACAAGAGTCTGGTATGTACAGGCCAAGTTCTAATTGCTGATCCAGATATACAAAGATCTGCTTAATTGGGGACATGTTTCTATGTCATTTGTCTGAGCATGCACCCTTCCTCCACCTCTAGTGCCGGTCTTTCTTTCTATTACCTTTTGGACCTGTTTAAACATATGCGTGCAACATAATAAGAAAAATTTTCAAGGAGACAAAAGATAAAAGTTATCCATCATCCCAGAAGAAAATTCAAGAAGACAAAAGAGAAAAACGTCACCCATAACCCTACTGCCTGAACATAGCTGTTTTTAAGTTGACATATTTTTTTCATCTAGCCTTTCTCTGTATGCCTTTAAGTTTTATGTAGCAGTAATCACTGTCCTTGTATCAATAATGTAATTTACCATTTCATTCAATGGTTTATCAAACATTTTCCATGTTTTACATTTATGATCTTAATGTTCATTTCGAAAAACGACCTTGGAAACTGGTCTATAGTTGATGGGCTAGAGTAATTTACTAAATCACTCTTCTATTGTTGACTTTATCATTTTCCTTTTTAAAATCATCAGCCCTCTTTTCTTTCTCTCTGCTGTTCATGGTTTATGCCATTAACTTAAGTGGGCAAAACCGGAGGGGCAGCAGGTTTTGACAGAGGCTTAAAAGCACTCTTTTAGAAAGCAACATTACGGGCTTTCCTTTTCCTCCCTGTGTCTAATCAGTCAGCAAGTCCTGCAGCTTTGACAGTCATAGTCAGAGCCTACATCGAGCCTTTCCTTTCCAACCCCACTGCCAGTACCCTGGTGCAAGCCGTTATTGCCCACTATTAGAGCTGTCTCCTTGCCATCTAGCTTAACGGTACGCCTTACCCACCTCCGCCAACTATATTCTACACTGCTGCCAGCATAATTTTCCTGAAGTATGGCTGCTGTCATGCCACCGTCCTGCTCCAGCTCCACATTGCCTCAAGAATTAAGTCGAAACCCCTAAATATAGTCCTTCAGACCGTGGGCTTCCTCTCCTGCTGTCTCACTCAGCATTCTCCCTCCCTTTACCATACGCTCCAGTCAAAATGACCCTTTGCTGTTCTGGGCTCAATGGGCGCTTCCCGGGTCTCTTTCTCTGCTTGTGCTGTCTGCTCTTGGGGTTGGGGGAAGAGATTTTTCTCTACCTCTGTCCTTTCAGCGCACAGCTCAGCTCAAATGCTGAAAGTAACGTCTCTTTCCTTGGTGGTTTGATAGATTCAGTTTTGTTTATACAGCTTTTCATCTTATATTTGCCCTAAGTTTCAAGTAGTTACATTTAGAGTTTTAAACCCCCTATTTACAAGTTCCTTGAGGGAGCGATGAAGCCCTGCCCTGTTTGCCTGTGCTACCTATTACCTTCCTAGAATGGAGTGGTGCCCAATAAATGTGTTAGCTGACTTGAAATGAACTGCTTTGAATTGGGTGAGACACAGGGGAGGGTGGATGATGAGGGCCAATGAGCTATCGAGGGCTCTACATTAATTGTTTTAAGTTAATATGCTGGATAGAGACCACGTTCCAACAGGAATTTCCCCTTAAAAGAGGGGTAAGAAGGGACAGTAAGAGTAAAGAGTTATGTCTAGAGGGCCGGAATCTCTGTCTTGACACTTGGTCAGCAGGACATTCCCACACCCCATTCCCAGCTCCCTCGCCTGTTTATCCACTCCCCTTTCCCCTTCCCACATGTTGACCCTAGATTCACTTGCTCCCTAAGAGCAAAATTTCTTCATTTCACAAAGAAGTACTGGGCTCCCACCTTTGCTATCTATGCCAGGGGGCTGGGGGCAGGTGAGGAGAAAGCATGCTAGGGATACTCCCACTATTTGCTTTAAGATTATCCTTGCCTCATCCTCTGATGAGAAAGCTCTTTCCTCTTTTTTTCAGTTCAATCAGCATCAACACGGGCAAATCTCAGTGGGAAAAGCCAAAGTTTAAACAATGCAAATTGCTTCAGGAACTTCCTGACAAGATTGTGGATCTTGCTAATATTACCATAAGTGACGGTAAGATTGTTTTGTACATATAAGACAAATTATGGAACTTCGATTACTTTGCCTACTTGACCTCAAACCAGAGAGAGTATAGGCAAATCCCACTTAGGAAAATCTACCTTACGACAATCCAATTTCAGAACAAAGGTAATTAATGTTGGTGGAGGTGGTGGTGGGGCATGAGATGTTAGGACTATCAGTGTTTCAGTGATTTTTGTTTGGTTTTGCTATATACATATTTTTTTCTTTTCTTTCTTTCATTTTTTTTTTTTTTTTTTTTTTTTTTTTGAGACAGAGTTTCACTCTTGTCACCCAGGCTGGCGTGCAATGGTGCGATCTCAGCTCACTGCAACCTCTGCCTCCTGGGTTAAAGCAATTCTCCTGCCTCAGCCTCCCGAGTAGCTGGGATTACAGGCGCCTGCCACCACACCTGGATGTTTTCTTGTATTTTTAGCAGAGGTGGGTTTCACCATGTTGGCCAGGCTGGTCTCAAACTCCTAACCTCAAGTGATCCACTTGCCTCAGTCTCCCAAAGTACTGGGATTACAGGTGTTAACCACTGCAGCCGGCCTTATTTTACTTTTTTGGCTAATTGTTGTTTTTATTTTATTTTAATTTTTATAAAGTTTTAATAAGTAATACTTCACCAACTTCAATATTCAAAAAACAAAAAGGGTATATGTAAAACATCTCCATCCCACTGCAGACCTTAGCCATTCAGTTACTATCCACAGAGATATTTTGTGGATCCATTTTATAGATCCATAATGAAATGTGTATATATATATACACACACACATATATATACACACACACACACATACTCCCCCTCACTTTTTGTACACAAAGTGGAGCATGCTATACACACTATTCTTCACGTTGCTTTTTTCTGTTAACAATATATTGCAGAGATTATTATATCAGCATATAAAGAGTTTTCTCATTATTTTTTCCCCCTCTGCACTGTATTATATATACCACAGTAAATGTGCCACAATTTATTTAACCTGTTTCCTATGGATGAGTATTTAGGTTGTCAGTAACATTTTTCTATGAAAACATGACTGTACAACTATTTTTGTGTTTTTTTCATTGTAGGGAAAATAGTATAACATACTTTAAAAAATACTCACATTTTTGATAGTGTATAAGATGTTTTAGAGTTAGCATTGTCTAAGCAGCTGATATAGAAGGTTGCATTTCTTTCAAAAATACATTTGTAGACCATGTTAGCTTTTATTTTCGTTTGTGACGCTGTTAGCATAATTCATATTATTACGTAAAAGAGATTCAAAATAAAGAGTATCTCTTTAAAAAAAAAACCACCGCTTTGATGAATATTACACATATGTCACAATTTTGAGAAGGTAGGGGTATACCTAAAGGATAAGTCCTTGAATGTGGAATTGCTGGGTCAATCACACTTTTGATGGTGTCAAAATGCTCTCTGTAATAGTTATAGCAATTTAGATTCCCATTTGCAAGGTATGAAAAGTGCCTTTTTTCACAACTCCTTCATCAACACAGCATGTTTGTTATCAGACTTCTGGATCTTTTTGCGATATGATAAGCAGAAATTGATATCTCAATGTAGTTTACAAACTTTTTAATGGAGATATTCGCATATCATAAAATTCACTTATTTAATGTGTACAATTTAGTGGGTTTTTAAAAGCATATTCACTAGATTGTGCAACCATTATCACTGATTCCAAAATATTTCATCACCCCAAAAAGAAACCCTGTACCCATTAGCAGTCTCTCCATTTCTCCCCCATCCCAGCTCCTGGCAGCCACGAATCTACTTTTTTATCTATGAATTTTGCCAGTTTGGGGCACTTCATGTTTCTGAGGTTCATCCAATGTTGTAGCGTGTATCATTGCTTCGTTCCTTTTTATGAATGCATTATATTCCATTATATAGATATACCACATTTTGCTTATTAACTCATCAGCTGACGGACATTTCTTTTCCACCTTTTGGCTATTATTAAAAATCTGGCTATACACATTTATGTACAGATTTTATGTAGACACATGTTTTCAATTTTCTTGGGTATACATCGACGAGTAGAATTGCTAGGTCATATGGTAACCCTATGATTAGTTTTTGAGGAACTTCAAAACTGTTTTCCATAGCAGTTGTGCCATTCTACATCCCTGCCGACTCTGTATGAAGGTTCCAATTTCTTCACATCCTTGTAAACACTTATTACTATTGTCTGTCTTTTAGATTATGACTGATAGTAATGCCCCCCAACGTACCTTTATTCTTGGTGTTAGTAATTTGTGTCTTCACTTTTTTATATCCTGGTCAGTCTAGCTAAAAGTTTTTAAATTTTATTAATTTTTATAGACTATTTTTTAGAGGAGTTTTAGATTCCCAGCAAAACTGAGTGGAAAGTACAGAGCTCCAGCATATGCCCTCCCCCAACCACATGCACAGGCTCCCCCACCATCAACATCCCCCACTAGAGTGGTACGTTTGTTACAATTGAATGTACACTGACACATGGTTATCACCAATAGTTCATAGTTTTACATTAGCGTTTACTCTTGCTGTGGTACATTGTGTGGGTTTGGACAAATGTATAATGACACGAATCCACCATTACAATATCATATGGGATATTTTCACTGCTCTAAAAGTCCTCTATACTCCACTTATTCATCCCTCCTTCTTCTCAACCCCTGGCAATCACTGATCTTTTTACTATCTCTCTGTTTTTGCTTTTTCCAGAAGGCCATATAGTTAGAATCTTACAATATGCAGCCTTTTCAGATTGGCTTCTTTCACTTAGTTATGTGCATTTAAATTTCTTCCATGTGTCTTTTCTTGGCGTGGCAGCTCATTTCTTTTTGGCACTGAATAATATTCCATTGTCTGGATGTACCACAGTTTATTTACTCATTCACCTACTGAAGGACATCTTGGTTTCTTCCAAGTTCTGTTAACTATGAATACAGCTACTAGTAACATCTGTGTGCAGGTTTTTATATAGATGTTAAGTGTTCAACTCATTTGATTAAAGAACAAAAGGTGTGGTTGTTGGATTGTGTGATAAGAGTATGTTTAGTTTTGTAAGAAGCTGCCAAATTGCCTTCTAAAGTGGCTGTACCATTTTGCATTCTCATCAGCAATGAGAGTTCCCGTTGTTTCACATTCTTTCCAGCATTTAGTGTTGTCAGTGTTTTAGATTTTCGCTATTCTCATAGGTGTGTAGTGGTATCTCATTGTTGTTTTAATTGGCAATTCCTTAACGACATATGGTGTTGAATAGCTTTTCATATGCATATTTGCCATATTTATGTCTCTTGTGGTGAAGTGTACTCTATAGGTTGAATGTTTGTGTGCCCCAAAAATTCATATGTTGAAATTCTAACCCCAATGTGATGGTATTTGGAGATAAGGCCTTTGGGAGGGGATTAGGTCATGAGGGTGGAGCCTTCATGAATGAGATTAGTGCCCTTATAAAAGAGGCCCCAGAGAGCTTCTTTGACCCTTTCACCATGTGAGGTTACAGCGAAAAAATGACGGTCTATGAGCCAGGAAATGAGCTCTCACGAGACATTGAATCTGTTCTTCATAGACAACTTGCCAGACATGGTTCTACTGCATAAAATGGGTCCCTCCCATAGTGAAATGTCAGAAATTGAGGCACAGGCATTCCAGTGCCTCTCAGAAGGACCAGGGAATTGGCCTTGAAGCAGTGAACTTCTCAGACTTGTTTTCCTTGCAGAGGATGCAAGTTTGAGATCCTTGCTGAGGACTATGTAGAAGAATTAGGAAAGCAAGCACAGCTCTGATTATTTCTAGATCAGAAACCAAGAGTCAGGGCAATAGGAAATGTTATAGCTTGAAGTGAGTGGGAGGAAAGTTAGAGGGTTTATGTTTCACGCTGACCTCCCTCCTTCTGAGTGACACATTTTCTTTAGAAATGCTAATAGAATTTTCTCTTGTGGAAAAAAAAGTTAATAAACAGTCATAACAACAACAAAAACACTGCACTGGGTTGGGATTTTTAGAAAATTGACTGTGAGAAGTCATTTTATATATATAAAAAAACTACTGTGGAGTAAAGGAACAGTTGGATGATGACTGTAATGTATATAACTGAAAAGTAAACTATCAAATTTATTATCTTTGGAAGAATCCTTCTATTCTACTTGTAAATTAGGGGCTTAATGAACAATGAATACAATATAAAGGAAAGAAAAACGTATTCACGCTGAAACAATTTATTTTCTTTTGCTTTCAATCTTGCTGACAAGCATTAGATATCTTGGTTGAAGAAAAACTCTTCAGCTCTCTCACTTAAATTCTCCTTTTTCTTAACTCTTTAATATCACAGAATTAGAAAAGGTACCTTTATTTCAAAGTTCTTTGGATTCTCTTCTGTGCTCAATGTTTGTTACCTCCATGATATTAAAGATGCATCAGGCTCTAGTGAAGTTGACTGGAACTTTTCACAAAACTATTTTCTGTCTGTGTCCATTCCACCATCAGGGTAGGATAGTGAGTGCTTAAGAGAAAACAGTGGGATTTCCAGGAGGTCAGGTAGAAAGACTGCAAAGCACAGCTGTCCCAACCCCCAACACAGTGGAGAAAAGGGCCAAAGGCACAGATGTTGTAAAAAGTGATATTGAAGAGCTCAACTTTGGAGTCAGCACTGGATTAGAATATTTCAATGTTTTAACTTCTTCATCTATATAAAGGGGATAATGTGAGTACTTTCGTGACTAATACAAAGGTTATTGTGATGAATAGATGAGAAAATGCATGTATAATGCCTTGCTGTTGTATCCTATCTCCAAAATGCCCACCAACTCATTCCCTCTTTGTCAATTGGGAGTTGAATCAGGGCTGGCTTGTGACTGCTTAGCCCAGGAGAATTTGGAAGAAGCGGCTTTGCCAATGATGGGACTAATTTTTAAGGGGACTGGAAGTTTCTGCATCCTTTCTCTTGGTACACTCTCATTTGAGATGCTTCCTCAGAGCCAGACACCATGCTGTAAGAAGCCCAAACAGTGACGTGCTGAAAAATATTTAACAACCAAGTCTACCCAAAGAAGGTGCTGATTTGTAGCTTTTGCCAGTTTTCATGATATAATACCCTCTCCTCCATGGCTGAATACAACCTACAATGCAATGTATAGTGACTGAACTATAAAGTTGGTAAGAGATGGATGCGCAGATACAGTAGATATGTAAATAATCACAAGAGCTTAGATTAGTAAAATGTAGCAAAATAATTAGAAAGTGAAGATGTTTCAGCATCATTTTAAATATAATTTATGCAATTGTAAGTTTATATAATTTAATTTTTAATAATGGCCATGTTTAACAACTAGTTCACAGAATTCCTGAAAATTTAACAATTGGTTCTCACCAGCTGGTACAAGTTAGCTCCAGTACATCACAAGCCAGATCCACACACTACTGAGCCCACACCACTGGGGGAGGCCATGTGTAGGGAGTACAGCCAACAGCCCCAACTGAACAGTCAGCATCAATTGCCTGCCATGTGAGTGAGCCCTGTTGGACATCCAGCCCAGATTAGCCTTCTGATGTATTCAGCCTCAGCTGCTATCTGACTTCAACTGTATGAGACACTCCAAGTGAGAACACTCAACTGAGCCTAGTTAACACACAGAATCATGAAGGATAATAATACATTATTGCTTTAAGCCATTAAGTTTTAGGGTGATTTGTTATGCAGCAATAGATAACCTGGAACACTGGCTCACAGAAATTGCTCAGTAAATAGCAGATATTATTATTTTGAATGTTGCAATTACTGGCAGATTAACTGTAACAGTATTTCAAGGAATGAGGATCAATTTATTTTACAACAAATAAAGGAGTCCCTTTATTACTTTTGCTTGAGGACCAGGAATTTTTACACGATGAGTGTAATTTAGCTTGAATTTTCCTTAAAAACTATACAACTCCAGAGAAAAGGTCTATAATTACTTTCCACAGTATAGCTAGTCTCCCATTGGCCTGCTGTTTACTTTCATTCTGCCACAGCAGGGACTACGTGAAAGTGAAATTGCACCACTGAAGCCCAAAGAATCATGACTAGGCAGCTCTTGCTATTCCATTTTCAACAAAGTCTGAGCAATTTAATAAGAGCAGTAGAAAGACCCGTGAATGAGCTCACTATCTTTTTCTGTCATGCCTAGTCTTAATATTTTCTCAGCTTTTTTAACTTACCAGAAGATAGATGTTAACTGGGACAAAATATTAATTCAGAAACAATTACAACCTTGTTTAATCTCCTTTCTGCCTCCCATCTCCTCAGGGAGAACTCTGTCTTTGCTAGTTCAGTTCCCATGTGAGGCATTGTTGGACAAATTGGGGTAATGGTTGGGGAGGAATTGAGAGGATCTCAGTTATGATTGCTGAATTTACATTGATGAGAACAGAAAGTTGTTTGCAGAAAAAAAAGAGAATAAAGAAAGAAAATAAAGAAGAAAAGGAGAAAGCAAAAAGTAGCCTGTGTAGGCTTTTGAAGGTGTTAGGTTGTGGGGAACTTGGGATAGGAGAGAGATTTGAGGAGACACTGATAACTATGGAGGTCATTGAAAGAGAGAGAGGAAGAGAAATACAGACAGAAAGAGAGAGGATGAATTTTATGCTGAATTATTTTGTTTTCTGAAACAGAATTGACTATTTGTAATATAACCTGGGTTAAGTGTGTTACGAGTGTTGGCTCTCTCGGGAATTTTTCTTAACAAATTGTATTTTTTATTATTTTCCTTTATATTTTGGTTACTGGACTTGAATGTGAGTGCTTTAAGCTAGGAAGACACAACAAGAAAGCTCAGCTTTATTTGTGTTATATTTAACTAAAATCGAATTTGTGCTGTATTCGTTTAACAAAGCTCTTCACTTTAAAAGTGAGTCATAATTCAAACAAAACAATTATTTAGAAGAAGCGTTTATGAGACAAGAACTTTCAGGCACTGACAGGATATTTGATGATTTTGAATATTATTGCTAATTTTAAAATTTAATTTGTTATTGTCGTTGTGACATGTAAAAATCATTTATTTTAGAGATACATACTAAAGTGTGGATAAAATGATATCATATCCAGGACTCACTTTGAAACAATATGGGGTTGGGGAAAAGGTGAGTGGAAGTGTAGAGAAAATGAGATTAGCCATTCATTGACACTTGTTGAAGTTGGGTTATTCATGAGGAACATGGAGATTCATTATACAATTCTTTCTACTTTTGTGTATGCTTGCAAATTTCCATAATAAAAAGTGAAGAAAAAAGTGGGCGAGTTCATATCTATTGTTCTTACTCTCTGGAAAATCTAAATTAACTGCTTTTTATTATGACATAGTCCATATTTGCTTTTTTTTTCCTGTGGTTTGATGGTTCTTGACAGGAAAATGTAACCATCACCCTTAGTTATGAAAACATAGACTGAGTGTTTGCTGATATTTGAGTATAAGGTGGGATCTACTTAACACAATCCAATACTCAAAAGTCTCAATTTAATGAGAATCAAATGTCAAGATAATTCTTCAGGGACAAAACGATTTCCCTGGTGCGTATGAAAAATGATTTAATGAATGAAAACTTTTTAATGAATAAAAACGTGACTTATGTTCTACTTTCTGGGACTACACCTATTGTAGAAACAAAGGGCCAATATTTTCCTTCTGTAAACATGTTACCTTGGCAGGTATTCTCATCTCACCCTCTTTACTCTTTAAAGGGAAGGAAGCACACCAGAATGGCAGAAGACTAAGTCATGCAGCTTTTATGTCTCAACTTTCTTTCCCCAGAGAATGCTCAGGATGTTGCAGAGCATATTTTAAATTTGATAAATGAATCCCCAGTCCTGGATAAAGAAGAGACAAAGATTATTGTTTCTAAAATATCAGATATTTCACAATGTGATGAGATAAGTATGAACCTAACCCATATTGTATTACAAATAATCAACGTTGTTTTGGAAAAGCAAAACAATTCAGCCTCTGATCTGCATGAAGTAAGCAATGAGTAAGTACTAATACTTTGGTGAAAGACATTATTTTTAAAAAATTTAAAATACAGTCGGCCCTCCGTATCTGTGCATTCTGCATTTGTGAATTCAAACCACCACAGATTGAAAATATCCTTAAAAAAATCTTGTGTCGATACTGAATAAGTATGAATTTTTTCTCGTCATCATTCCCTAAACAATACAGCATAACAACTATTTACATAGCATTTACATTATATTAGGCATTATAAGTAATCTAGAGATAATTTAAAATATACAATGATGTGCATAGGCTATACGAAAATACGACCCTTTTTTTATATCAGAGACTTGAGCATCTGTGGATTTTTGTATCCATGGGAGTCCCCGAACAGATCCCTCAAGGATACGAACGGACGACTGTATATATTATCAATTTATTGGCATACAGTCATCATAGATTTTAAAAGTCAGGTAGTTACACATTGAAAGCTCAGTAGCTCAGTTAGTACAATGCAATGGGGTCACTTTACTCGAACGTTCGTTGTGAAAGGATGTATTCGAATTCTAATTGAATCTTAGTGACAACAAGTTTTCAAGTAAACAGTTACCCCAAACCAAACCCCCAGTCCATTCCCCCAACTTTTGTGCTCCCTCAGTGTTCTTAATGTCTATAAAATGTATCCAACCAGTGCTAAAGTGGAAAACTTGAGAATAGTACTAGTTACCTCCCTCTAACTCACACCCAATTAATAACCAACTCTTGTATTTGTCACTGTACATCTATTTTTTAAATCCCTTAAATATTCCGGTGGAATTCATTTACTTCTCTCCATCTCCGCCACCACCACCCTATTCCTAGTCCCATTTCTCTCACCAGACTGTCTATAATAACCTCCTAAATGGTCTCTCTGCCTCCATTCTTGACCCTCTATGGGTCATCTTCTACATAGCACCCAGAGTAATCTTTTAATGTATGTATCAGATCATGTCCTTACTTTGCTTTTAAAACCACTAGGTGGCTTTCCATTACACGTAGAATAAAATCCAAACTTCTTATAAAGTCCCACGAGGCCCTGCAGGGTCTGGCTTACATGTAACAATTTCATTAATTTTCACAACAATCTTTTGAGATGATTGTAATATTAATTCTAACTTTGCAGGTGAGGAAACTGAAGCTAAGTGAGATTATTTTATCTGTCCACACAGTTAGAAATTAGAGGAACTAAGATTTAGATGTCAACTTGTCTGATTCCAAAGCCAATGCTCTTATTTAATAATTCCTAAATGATATAAAGATAGCGATTAAAACTCAAAGAAAAGTCTTGCAATGAGGAAATCTTGCAAGGAGGATGGGTTTTTTACTTTTAAAGGGTAGGATGCTCTTCTCCATCTGTGGTTTCTTGCAGAATTCTGAGGATAATTGAGCGTACTGGTCACAAGATGGAGTTTTCTGGGCAGATAGCAAATCTGACAGTGGCCGGGCTGGCTTTGGCTGTGCTGCAGGTGGACCACACGTTTGATGGCATGGCCTTCAGCATTCACTCCTATGAAGAAGGCACAGACCCTGAGGTGAGTGCAGCTCAGGGAACTGAGAGCCAATCAGCCAAGCACTGTTTCAAGTCTTCATTCATTTACTCCTTGGGAGAGAGAGAGGGCACTCTGTTAAGGTTTTAATCTTCAGGGGACCTTATGGAAATACAGACATCCCAGGTAAGATTCATATATAATCTTTAGTAGGCTAACACCTTGGTTGAAGTGGTGTCTGGGAATTGTGCAGTGATACCACCTTTGGCCCTGTGACCCCAAATTATCTCAAATGTCAGTTTATTATTGGCCACCATTTAAGGAACACATTATATGTTGGACATTGTGCTACCACCTCCTTTGTGCAGATAAGGAAACAGAGAAGTAATTTGCCCAAGAACACATAGCCTAATGGTTAAGCCAGGATTGAAACCTATGCCTGTCTGGCTTTAAAGCCTGGGCCCTTTCCACCATATGATACTACCTTAGCCTTTGGCATGTTATAGGCTGCCAACCCTACTCAAAACAATTTCAGAGGTTAGATTTTTTTTTTACAATTAAAAAAGTAATAAAGTGTACATATAAGAAAATGAACAAATCCTAAGTAAACACCCTCTGAATTTTGACAAATGCATACATCTGTGTAATCCAAACCCCTATTAAGATATAGAATGTTGGCCAGGTGCAGTGCCACACCTGTAATCCCAGCACTTTGGGAGGTCAATGTGGGAGGATCACTTGAACCCAGGAGTTTGAGACCAGCCTGGGCAATATAGTGAAACCCCATCTCTACAAAAAACTAAAAAATTAGCCAGGCATGGTATTATGTACCTGTGGTCCAGCTACATGAGAGGCTTAGGTGGGTGGATCGCTTGAGACCAGAAGATCAAGGATGCAGTGAGCCATGACTACACCACTGCATTTCAGCCTAGGCAACAGAGCGAGAGTCTATATTTTTAAAAATGATATAGAATATTACTATCACCTCTGAAAACCCCTTTGTGCCCTTTCCAAGTGAAGCTCTGAAACTACTACCTGAAGCGGCAATCACTGTTCTTATATTTTTCTGACATAGTTTTTCCTGTTCTACAACACTATATAAATGAAATCTTATAATATGTACTGTCTTGTATAAGGCTTCTTTCATGTAGCATAATTTTTTTAGTCATCCTTTTGTTTCAGTAGTTTGTTCCTTTTTATTGCTGAATAATATTCAAACGCATGGGTGTACAACAGATTCCTTGTCTATTCTCCTCTTGATGGACATTTGGATTGTTTCCAGTTTGGCTATTATGAATAATCCTGCTATGAACCTTTATGTATAAGTTTTTATGTGATCATATGTTTTTGTATGTCTTGGATAAACACCTAGGAATGGAATTGGTGGCTCATAGGTATATGTTTATTATTTATTATTTCTTTTTATTTTTTGAGATGGAGTCTCATGCTGCTGCCCAGGCTGGATTGCAGTGGCACTATCTCTGCTCACTGCAACCTCTGCCTCCCAGATTCATGCGATTCTCCCGCCTCAGCCTCCCATGTAGCTGGGATTACAGGCACTTGCCACCTTGTCCAGCTAATTTTTGTATTTTTAGTAGAGACGGGGTTTAGCCATGCTGGCCAGGCTAGTTTCAAACTCCTGGCCTCAAGTTATCCACCCACTTTGTCCTCCCAAAGTGCTAGGATTACAGGCATGAGCCACCTCACCCAGCCTGTAGGTATATGTTTAAATGTAGTAGAAACTGTCATAGTGTTTTCTAGAGTGGCAAATGATGTGGAGTAATTTTCCCTGTTCATATTGGTTATTTGTATGTCTTTGGTGAAATATCTGTTAAAATTTTTTGCCCATTTTTAAATTGGGTAGTTTTCTTTTTTTATTGCAATAGTTTTTGGGATACAGGTGGTTTGGGGTTACATGGATAAGTTGTTTAGTAGTGATTTCTGAGATTTTTAGTGAACTCATCACCTCAGCAGTGTACACTCCGTGCCCAATATGCAGTCTTTTATCCTTCACCCTCTACCACCCTTTCCCTTGAGTCCCCAAAGTCCATTATATCATTCTTATGCCTTTGTGTCCCCATAGCTTAGCTCCTATTTATAAGTGAGAACATACGATATTTGGTTTTCCATTCCTGAGTTACTTCACTTAGAATAACGGCCTCTAGTTCCATCCAAGTTACTGCGAAAGACATGATTTCATTCCTTTTTACGGCTGAGTAGTATTCCATGGTGTATATATACCACATTTTCTTTATCCACTTGTTTGGTTGATGGACACTTAGGTTAGTTCCATATCTTTGCAACTGTGAATTGTGTGCTTTAAACATGTGTGTGCATGTGCCTTTTTCATATAATGACTTCTTTTCCTTTGGGTAGATACCCAGTAGTGGGATTGCTAGATGGAATGGTAGTTCTAAGTTTAGTTCTTTAAGGAATCTCTGTACTGTCTTCCACAGTGGTTGCATTAATTTACATTTCCACCAGCTGTATAAAAATGTTTCCTTTTCACCACATCCACGCCAACATCTATTGTTTATTGACTTTTTAATTATGGCCATTCTTGCAGGAGTAAGGTGGTATCTCATGGTGGTTTTAATTTACATTTCCCTGATGATTAGTGATGTTGAATATTTTTTCATATGTTTGTTGGGTGTTGGTCTATCTTCTTTTGAGAATTGTCTATGTATGTCCTTTGCCCACTTTTTGATAGGATCATTTGATTTTTTCTTGCTGATTTGTTTGAGTTCCTTGTAGATTCTGGATACTAGTCCTTTGTTGGATGCATAGTTTGCAAATGTTTTCTCCCACTCTGTGGATGGCCCATTGACTCTGCTGATTATTTCTTTTGTTGTGCAGAAGCTTTTTAGTTTAATTTGATCCCTTTTATTTGTTTCTGTTTGTGCATTTGCTTTTGGGGTCTTAGCCATGAATTCTTTGCCTAGGCCAATGTTCAGAAGGGTTTTTTTCTGATGTTATCTTCTACAATTTTTATGGTTTCAGGTCTTAGATTTAAGACTGATCCATCTTGTGTAGATATTTGTATAATGCGAGGGATGGGGATCCAGTTTCATTTTTCTCCGTGTGGCTTACCAATTATCCCAGCACCATTTGTGGAACAGGGTGTCCCTTCTCCACTTTATGTTTTCACTTGCTTTGTCAAAGATCAGTTAGCTGTAAGTATTTGGCTTTATTTCTGGGTTTTCTATTATGTTATATTGGTCTATGTACCTTTTTTTTTTTTTTTTTTTTGAGATGGAATCTCGCTCTGTCGCCCAGGCTGGAGTGCGGTGGCCGGATCTCAGCTCACTGCAAGCTCTGCCTCCCGGGTTTACACTATTCTCCTGCCTCAGCCTCCCGAGTAGCTGGGACTACAGGTGCCCGCCACCACACCTGGCTAGTTTTTTGTATTTTTTTAGTAGAGATGGGGTTTCACCGTGTTAGCCAGGATGTTCTCGATCTCCTGACCTCGTGATCCACCCATCTCAGCCTCCCAAAGTGCTGGGACTACAGGCTTGAGCCACCACGCCCGGCCTATGTACCTATTTTTATACCAGTACCATGCTGTTTTGGTAACTATAGCCTTGTAGTATAATTTGAAGTTGGGTAATACGATGCCTCCAGATTTGTTCTTTTTGCTTTGAATTGCTTTGGCTACGTGGGCCTTTTTTGATTCCATATGAACTTTAGAATTTTTTTCTAGTTCCGTAAGAATGATGATGGTATTTTGGTGGGAACTGTATTATCTATAGATTGTTTTTGGCAGTATGGTCATTTTCACAGTATTGATTCTTTCCATCATGAGCAAGGGATGTGTTTCCATTTGTTTGTGTCATCTATGATTTCTTTAAACAGTGTTTTGTAGTTTTCCTTGTAGAAATCTTTCACCTCCTTGATTAAGTATATTCCTGGATATTTTATTTTAGTTATTTTGCAGCTGTTGTAAAAAAGATTGAGCTCTTTATTTGATTCTCAGCTTAGTTGCTGTTGGTGTATAGCAGTGCTGCTGATTTGTGTACATTGATTTTGTAACCTGAGACTTTACTGAATTCATTTATCAGATATAGGAGCTTTTTGAATGAGTTGTTGTGGTTTTCTAGGTATACATTCACATCATTGGTGAATGGCAACAACTTGACTTCCTCTTTTCCAATTTGGATGCCCTTTATTTCTTACTCGTGTCTGATTGCTATGACTAGGACTTCCAGTACTATATTGAATAGAAATGGTAAAAGTGGGCATCCCTCTTATTACTGAGTTGTAAGTGTTCTTTACACATTCTGGATACAAGCAATTTATCAGATGTATGTTTTGAAAATGTTTTCCTTATGGCTTGCCTATGTATTTTCTTAATAATGTATTTTGATGAGCAGTTTTTCACTTCCTTATTTTCTTTTTTCTTTCTTTCTTTCTTTCTTTCTTTTTTTTTTTTTTTTTTTTTTTTTTTTTTTGTTGTTGTTGTTGTATGAGAGTGGGTCTCACTCTTTTACCCAGGCTGGAATGCTGTGGCTTGAACACAGATCACTGCAGCCTTGACCTCCTGGGCTCAAGCAATCCTCCTGCCTCAGCCTCACATGTAGCTGGGATCACAGGCATGCACGACCATGCCTGACTAATTTTTTGATTTTTTGTAGAGATGGGGCTTCGTTGCCCAGGCTGGTCTCGAACTCCTGGGCTCAGGCAATCCTCCCACCTTGGCCTACCAAAGTGCTGGGATTACAGGTGTGTGCCATTGTGCTCACCAAAAGTTTTTAATTTTCATGAAGTCTAATTTATACTTCTGTTTTCTTTTATGAATAACCATATATGACTTGTCTAGGATACTTTTGTCTATCAGGAAGCCATGAAAACATTCTCTTATGCTTTTCTTTAAAAGCTTTATGATTTTAGCTTTCATGTTTAAAACTCAATTAATTGATTTATGTATTCCGTGAGGTAGGAGTTGAGGATCATTTTGTTTTACGTAGATATCCAGTATTTCCAGCACCATTTATTGAAAAGACTTTTCCTTCCCCATTGGCTTGCTTTGGTACCTTTGACGAAAAATC